CTTTATGTGGGAATGTTCTTACTCATTACGCACAGATCAGTGCTCACACACTGTTGATAGATGAGCCCCCTGGACTTTTCTCCTTTCCTCTAGGTGTATTGTTTTTTTTTTTCCAGCACTTTTGTAGTAATTTGCTTGTATATTTAGTCACTTCTAAATTGTAATTCTCATCTGCCTTGGTATGATGTTTACATTTTGATGATTCAATTTCTTTGTTTAAATGTGTAACCTTTTTACTAAACCATGTGACTACTACTGATCATGTGACTGGCTGTAAACCATTAAAGGAAGTAGCTTGGCTGCCATTTTGTACCTGCCCTGATGAAGGCCTGTATGGCTGAAACATGTTGGCATGTTTTTATGAATCTGTGGCCCTGATGAAGGCTTTTTATGCTTAACCCTCCGAGTGCCTCAGACTACTTTTTCACGGAAGAGCACCAGAGGAACTAATTACAAAAATAATTTACAACACCCATGCAGCACTCCATGCATCTGCTTTTTGACTGGAAATATTGTATTTTCAAATTCCAAAACATTTCAAGGTTTTTAATGACTGTACGAATCCTGAACTCTGTTTAGTGAAACCCTGTAGAGACCAGGATGGACTAAACCCAACCCTGTACTCACAGAAGAGTCTCCAGTCTGTAGTCTGGATTAGCCTGAAAATCACTCAGCAGCTTCACTCCTGAATCCTGCAGCTTGTTGGATTCGATGTCCAGCTCTTTCAGATGGGAGGGGTTGGACTTCAGAGCTGAGGCCAGAGAAGAACAGCTGATCTCTGACAAACTGCAGCTCCTCAATCTGAATAAAGAATAAAAGATGTGAATAAAAAGTTTATAATCCACTCAGATGTGTTCAGGTTTTCAATGTGTGGTCAACATTACAAAGTACTCATCAATAAGCTCGTCCTTCAAATTAATAAAGTCTCTGAGTCACAGTGGATCATTATACACTTCTACAGACATGAACTGTGGGTCTGAATGTTCTGACTTTCAGGGACGTGTTTCAGACTACAAACATGTTCATTGGTGATGATTGTACAGCTGAGGACAAAGCAGATCAGGGTCAGTAGATAAGTTTAGGGAAAGGTAAGACTCCAAGAAATGTCTTCTTAGACATTAGAGTGTTTGAGTTCTGGAGAATCCAAACGATGATCAGTTTTTACTTGTGATTAGGAACCAAAGAAAGATTTAAATAAATAGTAGAAGAAGTTTATTTCCATCAGCAGAACAAATTCTCAAAACACATCAAAGAAGTTCAACAATAGTTAAAGATGATTGGTGAACTGACCTCAGAGTCTCCAGTCTACAGTTTGGACTCTGCAGTCCCTCACACAGCACCTTCAATCCTGAATCCTGCAGCCTGTTCTTACTCAGGTCCAGCTCTTTCAGATGGGAGGGGTTGGACTTCAGAGCTGAGACCAGAGAAGAACAGCTGATCTCTGACAAACCACAGTTCATCAAACTGAATAAAGAATAAAAGATGTGAATAAAAAGAATGATCAATCAGATGATAACATAAAAACATAGCTAGGTCCAATAAGTGAGTGTGTCCCTAAAATAAGTAGAGATACTTTGTCAATCTGTTATCGTGGATCATTCAAATGTCAGCTTTCTACAGACATCATCCAAACATTCATACAGCTGTTCATGTCAATAAAGACACCAACATGTTACTGACCTCAGTCAAGATTACACAACTAATACTCTACTGAGCTTTACACACCTGGGAGTGTATGTGTGTGTGTCTCTGTATGTGTGTGCGTGTGTGCACTTCATAATAAAATATATATTACCGGTAGTTCAGATAATCTTGTGTCTTCAGTTTTGAACATTTAATAAAAATCAGAAACTTTAACTTTAAAAACTTAAAGAACTCCATTTAAACTATTTCAGTAAAAATCAGTTTTTTTATGATGCAGATTCAAACAAGAAAATAAACATGAACAGCATTCAATCTAAAACTTCATGGACGTCAGAAACATGTGAACATGAAAATGTATCAGCTGATAATCAAACACATGAGATGTAAAACACAAACAGAGAAGAAGAGAACTGACCTCAGAGTCTCCAGTCTACAGTTTGGACTCTGCAGAAAATCACTCAGCAGCTTCACTCCGGAATCCTGCAGCTTGTTGTTATTCAGGTACAGCTCTCTCAGATGGGAGGGGTTGGACATCAGAGCTGAGGCCAGAGAAGAACAGCTGATCTCTGACAAACCGCAGCTCCACAATCTGAATAAAGAATAAAAGATGTGAATAAAAAAAAAGATCAATCAGATGATAACATAACAACATAACTAGGTCCAATAAGTGAGTGTGTCCCTAAAATAAGTAGAGATACTTTGTCATTCTGTTATTGTGGATCATTCAAATGTCAGCTTTCTGCAGACATCATCCAAACATTCATGTGTGTGTGTGTGTGTGTGTGTGTGTGTGTGTGTGTGTGTGTGTGTGTATGTGTGTGTCTGTGTCTGTGTGTGGGTGTGGGTGTGGGTGTGTGAGTCTGTGTGTGGGTGTGTGTTAGTGTGTGATGTAGTTCCGTTATCATCCTCGATAACCGGCATTAAAGACACAAAGGATATGTAGCAGCCATTTTCTGGTTATTTGTTGTTTTGCATTTGTTTTTGTTGTTTGTGAACACCAGTGGGAAGTGGGCACCTTGCCAAGCACATGGGTTGATTAGTGTTAGGAACAGTAAGGTTCTTCTTCATCATCCTTATCTGTCTGTTTTGTTAATTACTTTGGACTGGTTTTCATGGGGAGAATAGAGAATTGGTTTAAGCTGTGTTTACTGGATTGTCCGATATTCTTGAATGCACCATTCCTGAGGTGCGCTCAGAGCGGTGCTCTGTCGCTTTAAATGACGTAATAAGACAGGTGAAGTGGCAGCTGACGGAGGACCCGTATGGACGCTGACTTGGAAGCTGTCGGACTTGACAGCTGACCCACTCCCATGAACTTGTTTTAGAAACCAGCCGTATCTTATGTGATCCAACTACAACAAACAAAACTGAACTCATAGACGAAGCTTGGGCTCGTCGCTCTAAAAGCCGTCCAGTGCGATCAGGCCGTCAGTGCCCCGGCAGACCCGCGTATAGGTGAGCTGACCTAACCTTATGTTTTCCCTGTGTGAGAATCAGTCCTTTCCGTACCTGTCATCTCTTGATCTCTCTGTCACACTTCAGGTTAGGGCTAGTTTTGTTGTACGTATATGTGGAGACGGTGCTAGCTCCTAACAATTAGGAACCCTTTAATTGTACCAGGTGTGTCACTGTTGGGTGATGCACTAGGAAGGGACACAGGTTTTTTACCACATGTCAATGAGACAAGTCAATGAATGCAGTTGAAAATGTTTGTATGTCTTAATTAAATGAAGAAACAAGAGATCCCGACTGGACATTGAACTTATTGCGTGCGTAAGGCCTTACTGGAACGGTGCATCAATGGCTGTTTGTTGAGTTTATGTGGTTTGTTTATAATTTTAACTTAAGTTGTTTTTGGACAAATAGCCGCAATAGGATACTTTTGGAAGATCAACCTATAATTTTAATCATCATGAATGAACCAAACCCCCAAATTAATATATTTAACACAACAAAGATTATCAGAGTAAATCTTTTATAATAGTTGGTTAAGTCCCTGAAGTAATTTACATCCTCACGGTGCGTTGCGTGAAATACAAGTTTTAATTACAACAAAAATATCCCTTTAATTTTCCCCTTTAGAAATTCAAAATAAACTAAGTCACAAACAGACGGAATATATATTATGAGCCACGAATGATCAGTTTAAATGATCTCTTATTCTCTTTTTAATCCACAAAAAAAAAAGAACTCTGACGCGGACGATCGCTCTTCCCCCCCAAAAAAGTGACATAAGAAATCCAACAAAAAAAGTCAATCGATCGCTGGTACACCAGAAAGAAAAAGCAGCAGAAAAAAGAAACAATCTCACCAGGAATCAGGAGGATGAATATCCCAGTCAGTCTTTGTTTCAGCATGACGTATCCAGTTGCGAGAGAGAAGAAGGGGATGGGAATCTGTAGTCTTTCTTTTAGACACTTTCACAGCCACTCAGGGCTCTTTTCTTGTTTTACAACACTTGTACACCACACAGACTATGACAATGACTGCAGCTGCAGAAACTTTTATCTGGCTCTACACTTTTTGTTCATTTTTCCCTCTGCACTCTGATTCCCCTGTGCCACATGCTGCAGTTATAACCTCGGCCATATTCATCATCATACCGGTACAGTGGAATATTTTTTGTTCACATACTTAGCACATACACATGTTTAAATAACAATAGGCCTACTCTTTGTTTTCTTTGAAACACTCTATCCATAATTCATCATTTTTTACGGACACTCAAACATTATGTGGTAATGCCACTCTGTACTGCAGCTACTGTACTGCCACACTCGCCTAAGCGTGTGAATTTTTTTGTGTTCGACGTCACGTAGACTCGATAATGATCACTGTAGCTTCACTCACACCTGCCACTACACCTAACTACTTTAATTAGTAAGTTGTAGTGCAAGTTAGGCTGGCAGGTACACGTTTGAGGGACTGGTGTGCATGAATTTAGAATGGTTTCACCCCGTGTGTGCATGTGTGTGTGTGTGTGTGTGTGTGTGTGTGTGTGTGTGTGTGTGTGTCATAAAATATATATCAGGTCAGATAATCTTGTGTCTTCAGTTTTGAACGTTTAATAAAAATCAGAAATTTTAACTTGTTTCAGCTGATAATCAAACACATGAGATGTAAAACACAAACTGAGAAGAAGAGAACTGACCTCAGAGTCTCCAGTCTACAGTTTGGACTCTGCAGAAAATCACTCAGCAGCTTCACTCCTGAATCCTGCAGCTTGTTGTTATTCAGGTACAGCTCTCTCAGATGGGAGGGGTTGGACATCAGAGCTGAGGCCAGAGAAGAACAGCTGATCTCTGACAAACTGCAGTCACAGAATCTGAATAAAGAATAAAAGATGTGAATAAAAAGTTTATAATCCACTCAGATGTGTTCAGGTTTTCAATGTGTGGTCAACATTACAAAGTACTCATCAATAAGCTCGTCCTTCAAATTAATAAAGTCTCTGAGTCACAGTGGATCATTATACACTTCTACAGACATGAACTGTGGGTCTGAATGTTCTGACTTTCAGGGACGTGTTTCAGACTACAAACATGTTCATTGGTGATGATTGTACAGCTGAGGACAAAGCAGATCAGGGTCAGTAGATAAGTTTAGGGAAAGGTAAGACTCCAAGAAATGTCTTCTTAGACATTAGAGTGTTTGAGTTCTGGAGAATCCAAACGATGATCAGTTTTTACTTGTGATTAGGAACCAAAGAAAGATTTAAATAAATAGTAGAAGAAGTTTATTTCCATCAGCAGAACAAATTCTCAAAACACATCAAAGAAGTTCAACAATAGTTAAAGATGATTGGTGAACTGACCTCAGAGTCTCCAGTCTACAGTTTGGACTCTGCAGTCCCTCACACAGCACCTTCAATCCTGAATCCTGCAGCCTGTTCTTACTCAGGTCCAGCTCTTTCAGATGGGAGGGGTTGGACTTCAGAGCTGAGACCAGAGAAGAACAGCTGATCTCTGACAAACCACAGTTCATCAAACTGAATAAAGAATAAAAGATGTGAATAAAAAGAATGATCAATCAGATGATAACATAACAACATAACTAGGTCCAATAAGTGAGTGTGTCCCTAAAATAAGTAGAGATACTTTGTCAATCTGTTATCGTGGATCATTCAAATGTCAGCTTTCTACAGACATCATCCAAACATTCATACAGCTGTTCATGTCAATAAAGACACCAACATGTTACTGACCTCAGTCAAGATTACACAACTAATACTCTACTGAGCTTTACACACCTGGGAGTGTATGTGTGTGTGTCTCTGTATGTGTGTGCGTGTGTGCACTTCATAATAAAATATATATTACCGGTAGTTCAGATAATCTTGTGTCTTCAGTTTTGAACATTTATTAAAAATCAGAAACTTTAACTTTAAAAACTTAAAGAACTCCATTTAAACTATTTCAGTAAAAATCAGTTTTTTTATGATGCAGATTCAAACAAGAAAATAAACATGAACAGCATTCAATCTAAAACTTCATGGACGTCAGAAACATGTGAACATGAAAATGTATCAGCTGATAATCAAACACATGAGATGTAAAACACAAACAGAGAAGAAGAGAACTGACCTCAGAGTCTCCAGTCTACAGTTTGGACTCTGCAGAAAATCACTCAGCAGCTTCACTCCTGAAACCTGCAGCTTGTTGTTATTCAGGTACAGCTCTCTCAGGTGGGAGGGGTTGGACATCAGAGCTGAGGCCAGAGAAGAACAGCTGATCTCTGACAAACCGCAGCTCCACAATCTGAATAAAGAATAAAAGATGCCTTTACACCTGTGAAGCGCAAATTGCATGAGCTCAATGTAAGATACACACTGGCATTCCCTGCGAAGCTGCACTTCAAATGGAGAGGAAAAAGCTTGAGCTTTAACACCGCTGCAGCAGCTGAGAAATTTGTCAACGAGCACAGGCACGAGAAAGCTGCAGACTGAGTTAAATGAGCGAGATGCGCTGTTGTTAACACTGGAGAGGTTTGTTTGTTTTGAGCTGGACTCAGATGGAACACCTGTGCAGGATGCGGGGAGGAGTCTCTGTGCACGGAACGGTATCCACGGGAGCTGTGATAACCCAATGGACCACTTTAGTGTTTTATTTTTTTTTTCCATCTGTGAGGAGCTTTCAACACTTGGATGCTGGGTGCTTAGAGTCAGTCGGACACTTTTTGTTTTGTTTCTGTTGGCTTGGTAAGTTTGTCTGTTTGTTCTGTTCTGTGTGTTCAAAAACAGGAAGGTATATGGTAACAATTTTTGATCATCTTATGGACTCTAAAATGTTGTCTTTACATGGACATTGGCAGACACTGATCTGGACGACTTTGTTCTCTCTTGTTATTTCCCCCTCTTTTTTATATCTCTACTATAGAGTTTACCAATGTCCAGCAGGCTAGTTAAATTTATTTCGTGGAACATAAACGGATGTAGAAGTCCTGTTAAAAGAAGGAAGATATTATCTTATTTGAAAAATAGTCAGACAGATATTGTTTTTATACAGGAAACTCACATGCAGGGGATTGAGGCTGAGAAATTTAAAACAGGATGGGTTGGCCATATTTTCTGTAGCTCATTTTCGAGTAAACGTAATGGTGCACTGATTTTAATTCATAAGAACGTCAGCTTTGTCCTTACAAAGCAAGTTAAAGATACAGAAGGAAGGATTGTGTGTGTTGAGGCCATACTAGAGGGAATGAAGGTGGTCTTGTGTAATATTTACGCATCCAACAAGGGGGATCCCAATTTTTATCATCAGGTTAATAAGATATTGGGAGACACTGATGGCCAAATTGTTCTGGCCAGTGACTTTAATGAAGTTGTGGATCCTTTTTTGGATAGGAGTTCATGCAGAGCTCCTCTCCTGAATAAGGAGAGGGAAGCTCTGCATATGTTGAGTAGTGATGTAAAACTAACAGACATATGGAGGTTAACTAAGCTAACTATGCGTGACTATACCTTTTTCTCACACTGTCACAAAACATACTCCAGGATAGACTTTTTTCTAATAAGCTCTTCTTATTAAATAAATAAAATAAATAAATAAGGGGTAAATTTATTGCACATGCTGCCAAAAAGAAAAAAAAGAGAATCTGAGCAGAATTAAGATCTTGGAAAAGGATATAAAGAATAAAGAGCTGAAATTGTCTAAACATTTATCTGATGAGCAATTTCAAGAGCTCTGCAAGCTCAAATTTCAATTGCACGAGATTTACAACAAAAAATCAGAATATGCTCTTCATAGATTAAGAACAAGTTTTTATGAAGGTGGAGAAAAAGCTGGTAAACTGCTGGCTAGACAGGTGAAGAAAATCAGTTGCTAATACAATACCAGTTATAAATCAGGGTGATAAACAATTTTTCTTGAATAAAGATATAAATAGAGTATTTCAACAATACTACGAAAGATTGTACACATCGTCTGTAACTTCCAACACTGCATGAGAAGATATCGAATAGTTTCTCTCTAAAATAGATGTGCCGAAGCTACAACCTGAGGAAGCCGATGTACTTGAGTCACCTATATCAGAGGATGAAATAAGGAAGGCAATCTCCTCAATGAAAAATGGGAAGTCACCTGGTTATGACGGACTCCCGGTAGAATATTATAAAGCTTTCATAGATATTTTTGCCCCAATATTACAAAGAGTATATCTGGAGATGTTCGATAAGGGACAATTAGCCTCAACCTTCAATGATGCTGTGATCTCTCTGATTTCTAAATCAGGAAGAGATGCAACAGACCCTGCTAATCTTAGACCTATTAGCTTGCTAAATCTTGATTGTAAAATTTTGACTTAAATTTTGGCCACACGTTTGCAATGGGTGTTGCCGAACATCATCCACCTCAACCAAGTGGGTTTTATGAAGAATAGGACCTCAACTGACAATGTTAGACTATTATTACACTTAATGTGGCTGAGTCAATTTGAAAATACTCCAATCGCGGCCATTTCTCTCGATGCAGAGAAAGCCTTTGATAAGGTGGAATGGCAATTCTTGTTCTCTACCTTGTCTCATTTCGGCTTTAACTCCAATTTTATCAATTGGGTCAAAATAGTGTATAAAGAACCTAAAGTGGTAGTAATGACAAACGGGGTGGTGTCCCCATTTTTTAAGCTTTTTTTTTTTTTTAAAGAAAGCATTTATTGTTTTTTTAGTTTTTTTTTTACCTTTTATTCGTGAAATAACAAAACAAATAGCGACAAAGGACAAAACAGGGAGGACAATTTTACAGGCACACAGAGGCATACAGAGAGAAAGAAGAAATGAAAACAAAACAAAACAAAGAAAAACTGGGGGAAAAACAAACAAACAAAGAAAAAAAAGGGGGGCCTAGAAAAAATAAGTAAATAAATAAAAACATAAAACTCAAGTTTATATTAATGCAGGAAGAAACAAAAACAGAAAAAACACTAAAGAAGTTGTATAAAAAATTAACAGATACAAAGTAGTGGTAACAGATATTGTGATTATTGTTATGATGTGAGTGAGAACAGAAGTGTTTTGTATAGATTGATTAATTTGGTTGAGAGTTCTGGCTTACAGGTGGAGGTGTTTGTAAATGTAATGCCCTAATAAGAGGGGTCCAGGTTGCTTCAAAGTAGTGAGTTAGGTCTTGGAGTGAGGCTGAGAACTTTTCCATTGATATGTATTCTGATAGGATGTTTAACCAGTGTGATATGTTAAGTTTGTGTCTAGTTTTCCAGTTCATCAATATGGTCTTTTTGGCAGTGCTAAGTAATACCTTGTATTGATTTAATTGTAAGTTAGTATTTTTGGACATTGTGAAATTGTTCTGACAGATATGAGACCAGTATTCGGCATTAGGGTTGATCAACAGGTCATTCTCCCATTTTTTAATAGGAAGTGATATTGTTGTATCTAATTTTAATAAAAGTTTTTATAGTTTAGATAATACTTTTTTTGTGCCTTTGATCTTGTGTATTTCTTCTACCAGTGCTGGAGGTTGTAGGTAATTGCTTGTGGTATTGATTTTGGATTTGAGAACAGATTTTAACTGGAGATATTGAAGGTACTGGTCAGTACTAATGCCATAAATTTTGACAAGGTTTTCAAAGGAGATGAGGTTGTTATCATGGAAGATGTGATCTAGGTGTGTAATTCCCTTTTCTTTCCAAGTGACAAAGTTGATAGGTGAATTGTTTAATGTAAAATCAGGGTTGTGCCAGATGGGGGTATATTTACAGGGAGTCAGTGTAGATTTGGTGATTTTGATGATTCTCCACCAAGCTGTCAAAGTTGTAGAAATGGCATTCATTTTGAAGCAATTGTGACATTTAAGGCTTGTGTTCAGGAATGGTAAGTCTGATAGTCATATATCTTTACATTGGGGTTGTTCTATTTCTGTCCATGAATAGTTTTGTGTTTTACAGTTAATCCATTTGGTGATGTACTGTAATTGGTTTGCGAGGAAATAGAACTGAAAATTAGGTGCCTCTAGTCCTCCTGTGTCTTTACTTTTTTGCAGTGTAGTGAGTTTAATCCTTGTTTTTTTATTTTTCCAATAGAACTTATTTATTACGGAGTCCAGCGATTGGAACCAGTTGGTGGTGGGTTGGGTTGGGATCATTGAAAAGAGATAATTTATTTTTGGTAATATTATCATTTTGACTGCAGCTATTCTACCTGTAACAGAGAGTGGCAGCTTCATCCAGCGGGTTAGGTCTTCCTCTATGTTTTTAAGCAGAGGGGTGAAATTTAATTTTAACAAATCAGTATTTAATGGTATCAACAGATGATGGAGCTGGTATATTTTGGATTGAAGCCATCCAGTCTTGTCCACATAGTGGGAGAATTGCAGATTTTGTCCAATTTATTGCATAGTCTAATATCTTTGCAAACTGGTTAATGAGCTTGATGGATTCTTGTAGTGAGTTGGATGTGGATTGGAGGTACAGTAGAATATCATCTGCATAAAGACTTATCTTGTGATGGGTGTTGGAGATGTGGATACCTTGGATATTATCATTCTGGCGGATAGCTGCAGCAAGAGGTTCAATGAATATAGCGAAGAGTGATGGGGAAAGTGGGCATCCCTGTCTTGTTCCCCTATGCAAAGCAAATGGAGCTGAGGTTATGCCATTGGTTATGACTGTAGCCATGGCTGAAGTGTATAGTGTCTTGATCCAGTTTATAAACAGTTCTCCAAAGCCAAATTTTTTAAGTGTTGCGAATAAGAATGTGTGGTTTACTCTGCCAAATGCTTTTTCAGTATCAAGTGAGGCAGTGATAGTCTTTAAATTGTTTAATTTTGCGATATTTAGTAGATTAAAAAGTCTGCGCATGTTGTCAGAGGAATGCCTACCTTTAATGAAACCAGTTTGATCAGGGTGTATTATGAGAGGGATTTTCTTTTCAATGTGAATGGATAGAGCTTTACTTATTATTTTAATATCTGTGTTAATAAGTGATATTGGACGATAGTTCAAGCATTGTGTTGGGTCTTTATCTGGCTTTGGTAACAATGAGAGGATGGCCGTGTTCATGTTTTGCGGAATTTTAGATGTATGCTGAGTTTCTTGACCCTTTAATGAGTCGAGATTGTGCTCCAAAAATGTTTATAAAATTCAGCAGGGAAGCCATCTGGACCTGGTGATTTATTGTTTGGCATTTGATTTAGTGCTATAAAATATTCATTTTGTGAATGGTTTTTCTAAGTCATTTGCTTGATCCTTTGTTAATTTGGGAAGGTTAAGGCTTTCTAGAAAGGAGTCAATGTCTGATGGTTCCGGTTCCTTGTCACAGGAGTATAATTTGCCATAGAATGATCTGAAAGTATTGTTAATGTCTTCAGTTGTTAACATTGGCCTCCCTTCTGAATCCATTGCTGTAGAGATTAATGATTTGTCTTTATTGCGCTTGAGTTGGTTTGCCAAGTATTTCCCGGTATTATTGTTGTGTTCGAATTTCTCCTGTCTTAATCTTTCGATCATGAATTGCGTCTTTTTATTAATTATTTTATGAAGTTGGAATTTAACTTTTGTTAGTTTGTTGTAGATCAGTTCTGATGGATTATTAGCATCGAGTCATTTAATTGTTTAAGTTCATCTTCCAAATCCTTTTCCATCCTTGTTTCTTTTTTTTTCTTGTTGGATAAATACGATATTATTTTACCTCTCATTACTGCTTTGGCCGTTTCCCATAGTGTTGTTGGTGATATTTCGGGTGTGTCATTTATTTCCAACAGCGATGCCCACTCCCTTTTAAAGTATATGTCAAATTCAGAATCTTTGCTAAAGAGGTATTAAAGCGCCATCTTGTGTTGTAAGATATGGTATGATGGAGTTGCTGATAAGAAAAAAATCTATGAGGGAAAAGGAATGGTGAATGTGTGAGAAATAAGAGTATTCTCTGCTATTTAGATTATACAGACACCAAATGTCTCCAAGACGGGGTCCGAAATTAACCCGCCAAGCGCCAAATGCGGGTAGATTTTCAGTTTGGCGAGTACTTTTCAGAGGGCTATTCGCCACAGGGCGGGTAAATGTTTTATCAAAAAGTCATAGAAACTATGCTATAAGTATTCATTTATACCGTCAAAATACCATCTACGATTTTTAAGCAGTATGATGATACTGTAAAGAAATTATTTGGCAGAAGGACCTTGAAGATCAGATATGTGAGAGAGGCTCGGGGTAAGCTCACACAGTATAAGGTTACACATAGATTTTATCACACACCATCCAGACTTCATAGAATGAAACTGTTGAGTGATAATTTGTGTTGGAAATGTCAAACTGAAACAGGAACTTTCCTGCATTGTTTGTGGGAGTGTAGTTTGGTCAGACCTCTCTGGACTCAGATCATTCATATATTAAGCAGTTGGTTTAAATCAGAAATTCCTTTTAATCCAGTGTTGTGTTTATTGGGAGACCGATCTCAGATACCTAACATATCCAAGGGTGAATTCTGTGTGATCATGGTGGGTACAATAACAGAACAGAACAGAACAGACTCAGTAACAGAAGGTTGGAGAAGGGGTCTCCCTGGGACAGGTTCTGGGACTACATAAGAGTGGATGACGTGTCCAAATAATTTTCAATCTCATCCCTTATCGGATCACTATTCAGATGTATTCCTGATTTTAATTGTCTCTGCTGTGACGAGCATTATTTGTAATAATTTTGATGTATTTATCTTTTTTATTTCTATTTTTTTTTCCCCTCTCTGGCCTGCTGCTATAGTTTATGTTCGCTGGATTTGTGTACTGAAGTCTGCCCTCATGTTTTGTGTAAGCTATGGGTTGCTATATCCTTGAAACCTAAATATGTTAATGCCATGTACCATGCCTTTAAAAAGTTCAATAAAAAAATTTGAATTCCAAAAAAAAAGAATAAAAGATGTGAATAAAAAAAATGATCAATCAGATGATAACATAAAAACATAACTAGGTCCAATAAGTGAGTGTGTCCCTAAAATAAGTAGAGATACTTTGTCAATCTGTTATTGTGGATCATTCAAATGTCAGCTTTCTACTGACATCATCCAAACATTCATACAGCTGTTCATGTCAATAAAAACACCAACATGTTACTGACCTCAGTCAAGATTACACAACCAATACTCTACTGAGCTTTACACACCTGGGAGTGTATGTGTGTGTGTGTCTCTGTATGTGTGTGCGTGTGCGTGTGCGTGTGCGTGTGCGCGCGCGTACTTCATAATAAAGTGAATGCCTACGTTCCTAATAAAGGTGAAACACAACTGCCGCTACCTTTTTTTATTGCTGCTGCTATTTTAGTATTATAGTACTGTACCGGTATATTTTATTTAGACATGTCTATTGCTGCTACTGTGTACAGTATATTATTTGTATATAACTATGATTTTTATTTTATTTTTTGTATCTGTGTGCTGTTCTGTTGATCCGTTGGTGTTACCTGCTGCTGGAATGTGAATTTCCTGAGGGAACCTTCCCAAGGGATTAATAAAGTTCCTATCTATCTATCTATCTCTCTGAACCCGAATTTCCTTCCAAGTTGAATGTGATTCCACCTCAGTAACCTAGTCAGCGATCCGGTTGTGGATAGGCCTGGCCGCCCACTTCCATCTGATGGTGCGTTATCAGCAGCAAATTTTGGCAATGACTGACATATGGCGTGTTGTAAATCCTACAGCCCGTGAATACACATTTTATTCTAATGCTCATAACTCATACTCTCGGATTGATTATCTATTTTATCACAAGCTATGGTGGAGAATGTGATTGACAACAATATACATAATATGATTATTTCAGACCACACCGCCTTATCTGCTCTCCTCTCTCTTTCTGTAAATAACCATAAAAGTAAGCAGTGAAGATTTAACAATTCTTTGCTTAAACAGTACTGACCCTGCTTCTCCTCCTACCAACCACACCTACCGCTAAAGACACTGAAGTGAATCCTCCTAAAGCATTATTATAACACATGGTGTATTTTGAATTACAGATGGAAAGAGACAGATTGACGGTGCTGTATTTCAGCTGTGTGTGTGTGTGTGTGTGTGTGTGTGTGCGCGTGTCTGTGTCTGCGTGTCTGTGTGTGTAGTGTTGGACACTCTCAGCTGATGGCACGCACACAGCTCTGTGACGTGAATGTTTGTTTCTGTCGCTGATTGTCACTGCGTTGTTAAGAAAACAATCAAATAAGTTTTAAGAAATTATAGACTTAAAACTTTCCTTTTTGATAAATCTTATAGTTAGGGCTGGCGCTGGTGTAGACCAGCTTCTAGTTATGCTGCTTTAGGCTTAGACTACTGGGGGAACTTGCACCTTGAGCTCTTATCTCTCCCTCTCTCTCTTTCTCTCTCTATGTGAGATCATATTACTGCATGTCGCTATCTGTAAATCTAGAGAGCTCATGGCTCTGTGCAGCTTCAGAGAAAGAGAGAGATGGTCCGCTGTCTGCACACCCCTCTTTTAAATGCATCTTGCGCCAATCATAACTGAAGCTTCTCATGGCTTCGTTTTAAAAATGTTAATATACAGCTGCTTACTGCTGATTCTGTGCTGGACTCCTATAAATAACAGAATATCAAGTGGAACTTTTCAAAACGTGAGGCGTACTCCTAGTGTTCGTGTCTGTGCGCGTCCGTGAATAAATTGAACAGATTAAAGTAGTTTGTTGCAAAAACAAAATTAATTTAGAGGGAAAATAGCATTTGATATAAATACAAACCTAATATTAAAATATACCCTAAGATAAGAGTAAGGAAAAAAAGACAATCGTCAGCAACGAAAAGTGAACAAAGAATCAGAATCTCACAGTGTCACAAACATCTCAGACAAAACAAGTGTTTGACTTTATTTTTACGTCTGATGGTTGAAATTGGAATGATTGTTTTTCTTTGTTTAATTATGCATAATTTATCTAAAATTCAGGTGGTTAAGAGTGAAATATACAACAAGTTTTTTTTAAAATATATATTTAGGTTTAAAATGTAAGGCTTTAAATTGCTACCACTCTGTGAATAAAACCACAGAAGAAGAAAATGGACTTCAGCATTAAGATCCTCAGTATGGATCATTTGATTACCAGCCTGAAGTCTACAGTTTAATTTCACATCATATTAATCTGAACAGAGAAATTAAACCTGTTGTCTTACCTCAGACTCTCCAATCTACAGTTTGGACTCTGCAGTCCAGCACAGAGCAGCTTCACTGCTGAATCGTGCAGCTTGTTGGAGGTCAGGTCCAGCTCTCTCAGATGGGAGGGGTTGGACTTCAGAGCTGAGGCCACGACTTCACAGTGAGTCTGTGACAGTCCACAGTTATTAAACCTGTCATGACATTAATGGTACATAATCTGTTATTTAAAGGAATGTCTTAATATTTTAGCGTGAACTATAGTGTGTGTGTGTGTGTGTGTGTGTGTGTGTGTGTGTGTGTGTGTGTGTGTGTGTGTGTTGCTCCGTCATGAAGACAGCAGAGAGAGGAGCAGGGAAAAGTAGCTGTTGCTACATCAAATGTGCTTAATACTTATTAGCCTACTTTTAAATAAAGTATAGCATAGTCTACGCGTTTGGCAGTTGTTAATTTCAGACCCTGCATATACGTCATTACATCATACATAATATCAAATCAAGGCTTACAGTATTCAAGTAATAGGCTATTAATGACAGGAAATGTTGTGTGTTTAGGTGAGAGCTAAAATTAGATGTTTCCTCATTTCACACTTTTTGTCTATTTTTTCATTTGACTGAAAGCCGAAATGTTAACAAAGGGGCAAAGTTACATTGGGTTCAGGTACCAGTGCAGTTTCCTGTGAGTCCATCTGAACATTATGTGGGGTGAAGTGACTCAACGTGCGGTCACCACTGAGATCTTGTTTTTGCTGCGGTTATTCATATTTGCAGTTACTGCGACAGCCCTAGTTGTAATGATAATAATATGTATTGTAACAATAATCACTATTGTTATTACTGACACTAATAGGATGATAAAAGAAAAATAGCAAATATAGGTATTATTATGAAACAAATGACCTTGAAGTTGGTAAACACTAGATCTAAAAAAAGACATATTTCACTCAGCATTTAAAGCAGCTCAAGTAAACTTGTAACAAAATACAAGTGACTGAAGAGTTTGTTAATATTTCAGATAAACACTGTTTTCAAAAACCTAGATATTTTATAGTACATATTTGAAGAACTAAACTGCTTATTTTTACTCATATCTAATCATATGTGGACTTACTTTGCCTTTCTGCTGTTCCTCACAGCTGGAATCAGTCTCAGTCGTCCCTGGTCTGATGTGTTGTACTTCTTCAGGTTTAGCTCATCCAGAACCCCCTCTGACATTTGCAGCATGTAGGCCAGAGCAGAGCAATGGATCTCAGAGAGTTTCTCCTCTGATCTGTTCTCTGACTTCAGGAACTCTTGGATCTCCTGATGTACTGAGAGGTCGTTGATCTCCATCAGACAGTGGAAGATGTTGATGCTTCTGTCAGGAGAGATACCTTTACTGTTCATCTTCTTCAGGTTCTTGATTACTCTCTGGATCTTTTCTGGACTGTTGTCTCTCTGACCCAGCAGGCCTCCTAAGAGTCTCTGGTTGGTCTCCAGAGAGAGGCCATGAAGGAAGCGAACAAACAGGTCCAGGTGACCATTTTTACTTTTCAGGGATTTGTCCATGGCAGTCATCAGGAAGTCATCCAGGGTTAACTCATCGCTTTCAGGAGTTTGAAAAATGATGTTGTTGTCTTTAAGGAAAGCCTCTCTTTTCCTGTTTGTCAAACAATGGAACATGTAGACTGCAGCCAGGAACTCCTGAACGCTCAGATGAACAAAGCAGTAGACCGTTTTCTGGAGGATCACACTCTCTCTTTTGAAGATCTCTGTACAAACTCCTGTGTAAACCAAGGCCTCTGTGACATCAAGACCACAATGCTCCAGGTCTTCTTTGTAGAACATGATGTTTCCATCCTCCAGATGTTCAAACGCCAGCCTCCCCAGCTTCAGAAGAACTTCCCCATCAGCCTCCATCAGCTCATGTGGACTTGTCTCAGGTCCCTCATCATACTTGTGTTTCTTCCTCTTTGTCTGAACCAGCAGGAAGTGTGAGTACATGTCAGTCAGGGTCTTGGGCAGCTCTCGTCTCTGCTCTCTGCTCATCATGTGCTCCAGAACTGTGGCAGTGATCCAGCAGAAGACTGGGATCAGACACATGATGTGGAGGCTCCTGGATGTCTTGATGTGTGAGATGATTCTGCTGGACAGATCTTCATCATCACTGAACCTCCTCCTGAAGTACTCCTCCTTCTGGGCGTCATTGAAGCCTCGTACTTCAGTTACCCTGTCAACACATGAAGGAGGGATCTGATTGGCTGCTGCAGGTCGAGAAGTTATCCAGATAAGAGCTGAGGGAAGCAGATTCCCCTTGATGAGGTTTGTCAACAGTGTGTTTAACGGTGATTTCTTTGTGATATCAGACACAACCTCACTGTTTTTGAAGTCCAACGACGGTCTGCTTTCATCCAGGCCGTCAAAGATGAACAACAGTTTACAGACAGCGAGCGTCTCTGCTGTGACCTTCTGTAATGTTGGATGGAAAACACGGAGCAACTTAAGAAGACTGTACCTCTCATCTCTGATCAAGTTCAGCTCCCTGAATGAAAGCAGGATCACCAGACTGACATCTTGGTTCTCTGAGCCCTCTGCCCAGTCCAGAGTGAACTTCTGCACTGAGACGGTTTTTCCAACACCAGCGACCCCGTTTGTCAGAACCACTCTGATGGGTTTCTGTTGGTCGGGTTGAGCTTCTGTCTCGTGTTTCTGTTGGTTGGGTAAGGCTTTGAAGATGTCCTGGCACTTGATTGGCGTCTCATGGAGGGCCTTCATCTTGGAAGCTGTCTCAAGCTGTCTCACCTCATGTTGGGTGTTCACCTCTTCACTCTGTCCCTCTGTGATGTAGAGCTCAGTGTAGATCCTGTTGAGGAGGGTTCTACTTTTTGTTTCATCACTTCCTTCAGTCACATGTTCACATCTCCTCCTCAGAATGATCTTATGTTCATGTGTAACCTCCTGCAGACCTCTATCTACTGAAAGAGAAGAAACATATCCTGAGACTGAGAGAATACATCATATTCATTATTACACATTAAGCACACTGCATGACACAAAATCATCCCTGTAATAACTGTGTGTTGCTACAAGAGAAATACAATATACTGAATATAAACTGACAGCAAGAATCAGATAAAATGTTAATGTTTCATTTAACTGTATATCAATGAAAATACTAACTGATTTGTCTTGTTTTTAGACACATGACTTCAGTCTTACTTATTACAGTGCTGGACTGACTGGATATCTGCAGTCCTCGTCTTAGTTTAGATCGTTCTCCACAGTGGGGACAGGAGGTCTCTCCTGATGAAGTAGACTGGTCCCAGTATGAGGTGAGGCACTGTCTACAGAACCAGTGTCCACAGCTGGTAGAAACTGGATCACTCAGGACGTCCTGACACAAAGCACAGCTGGACAGCTGCTCCTCCACAGAAACAGACCCCTTTGTTATTCTGTGGAGATAAGGGAAATCATAAAGTAGTGAAAACTGAGACTGACATTTAGAAACCAGTGGTGGACTAAATCAAATAAAGCCACAAAAAACAATGTTTTAAAAAGGTGTGCCATGTCCTTCGCAGTGAGCAAGTGCAGACATATGTCTGTGTAACCATAGAGTCTACCATCTGAGTCCAATAACTGACCTATAAGTGTGATGTTATTTTAAACCAGTTTTCGAAAAACAGGGATTCATTTTTGTAGAGAATGTCCTTATTGTTCCAGATGTAATATCTGTGTGGAGAGAAGTTATGTTTCAAGATGAGAGACCAAGTCAAGAGTATCTGTTTATGGAAGTTGGATAGTTTGATCGGGATTTTACTGATATTATAGTTGCACAGTTATAAAATTCCAGGCCACCAACTTTAGAAAAAACATGATTAGGACTCATATTCCATAGAGATGTTGGGTTATTTAAAAATGTCTCAGCCTGTTCACTTTGAATGTTAAGAGCTGTGAAGTCTAAAACATTCAAGCCCCCACATTGATGTGTTTATTGTCACATTCTTTTTAACCATAATGTATTTTGTTTTTCCACAGTTAAACAACAAATAATCAAATCTTTTGGTTACATTTTAGTTAACATCCAAAGATGGAGCCGGATTAGTGAGTCTGGACATGCCCTCAGCTTTTGAGAGCAAGGTCCTTTGTCTCAGAGATAAATCTCTTTGTAAACAAGAGTTTTATCAATGACTTAAGGCGCACCTTATATTTTGCTCCTTGGTGATAACTACTCCCAGGTATGTGACCTGGTCATTCACTGGATTATTACACATATGGGGAACATTACAATCTTTAACAGCCATAGGTTCAAAGTCCAAAACCTGCAGTTACTGTTACTGCTCTGTCACCCTTTTAGTCTGTTTTCTCTTTGTGGAGTTTGCTCTCCTACCAGTTACAGTACGGTAGTTGAGCTCTCAGCCTGCAGGGAAAGTTGTGAAGCAGAGACCCCTAGCTTGTGAGCTCTCTGCCTGACTCTGCTTGTTTCTCTTTAACTTTAATAAAGGACTCTTTCAATCAAAAGAGCGTTCAACAAGGTTTATTTATGGAACAATATCCTACAGTTTTCTGTAAATTAATTATTATGACCTCTTGAGGGAAAAGTTTTGAAAAAGTAGAGCAGCCAGGCTGGTCTGTGTCACTGTCTCTCCCAGAACAGCGTGCAATCAGCTCTTAATACACTGAGGGCCTGATTTACTGAGGTCCCAAGTAAAGAGTACTAAATTGCGTGTTCACAAAAATTGCACGTTTGGTGAGTGTGCGATTTTCCGGTGATCTACTATGAAAATTTGCGTGAATGACAACAGGTGCAAACCTTGTGGAGGCGGTACTATTTAAGTTAGGTTTTTGCGTGTTCTACTGGTTTACATCAGAAAGCAGGATGACAGCAAGCGCAAAATAGGTATCAGTGGAAAAGGCAAATGAACGTACATTATTTTCGAGTTATAGCAGATAAAACTGAATATTACAAAAATAAAATTTAGCTTATTAGAAAACCTTGGCATTAATCAGGGCCTCTCTTTTCTTCCCTCCATCTTTTGAATGAATTGTCATTCACTGCGCAGGAGGCGCGAGCTGTCTCCTCTGTGACACTCAGGCGCTACACTCAGCACATTGTTGCGCACCAGATAGCTGGCCAGCGCTGTGTCTGGTCGGACATAAATGCTCTGGAAAGAGGTGTCGAAGATGGGGGTGCAAGCAGTGGTGAGGTACCCCAATCCAAGTATCCTACAGAGTAGCATAAAGGGGCTGTAGAGGGAGGAGACGAGCGCATTATGGAGAGGAGTGCATCAGAGGGGGCGAGCTGGGGAGAGACGCGCAGCCCGAGAAAAAGGAAATCCCCAGTTTAAAATAAAATGTTGGTGAGAAGAGGGAAATAGGAAGAAATCAATGTCAATGTTGAAATTCTTTAGAATGCAGAGGCTGTGAATGTTCAGTTTTGTTTGGCTATAAATAGGCAACAATATAGTTTAATCATGGTGTTTCCTGCTGTCATTCTAAACATATTAACATGTGGGGAAAATCACAATCTTTATGCTTTCTTTTGTTGTGCCTATGTCTCCTCCTAACTTCAATAACAGCAGCCTGTTGTGTGTAACACTGGTATCCTAGGTACGCACGTTCTTTTCAAAGGTGTTAAATTCAGACACCGTCACAATCACCACAATTTTTGTCAGGCTTAGTAAATCGCAATGCATGTACTAACTTAACTTGTTTGCATTTTCTCCTCCCAGTATTTTGCACGCTAGGGCAGAAACGCCCCATATTGAATATTCATTAAGTCAAACGTGCTAAATGGACAATGCGTGTTGTTTCGCTCATATGAAAGATTCAACTCTCAAACCGTGCCGTTAGTAGATCAGATAGCGCTTTTTTTGCGGGTGGTAACAAGTTTGCACACGTTTTAAGACACGCAAACCTTTAGCAAATCAGGCCCAATGAATGGGGATGGTTTTTTTAATCGCGTCCGGTCGCACGCAGTGATGGTGGCTTCTGCACCCGCGGTAATGATGGCTCAAGTGTCAACATTTTATACTGGTATATCAGTTGCACCTTTGTATAAGACCCAGCCAACTTTTTAGATGAAAAAATCAGGTATTAAAAGTGCATCTTACACCGGATTTTTTAGTCAAACTTCAAGATCAGTTTAAAAGACTACTTCCTGCAGAATCACAGAGAAGACAACTAGATACACAACCAAAGAGTCAATACTGAAATCATATTATCTTATCTATAAACATATAATACATATATATAATCCTTAGTATGTTGTTATGAGTCCAGTGACTTTCTCTGTATGATCACTGTGTGCAGGTTGATGATTAAAAACAAGAAAATCAACACATTATGGTGTTCAGGACTCTTTTTAGCTTGACAGTTTGGTGATTAACAAAAGTTCTCTTACTGTGGATCTGAAGGTCCTGGTTCATTACTGAAGTCTGGAGGAGCATCTTTAGACAGGTCACTCTTCATAGAGAGACAGCTGGACAGAGGAGACTCTGCTCTGTCCTCCTCTTTGCCCCCTCGATAACTCGTCTTCTGATCTGAAGGTCCTGGTTCATTATTGAAGTCTGGGGGAGCATCTTTAGACAGGTCACTCTTCATAGAGAGACAGCTGGACAGAGGAGACTCTGCTCTGTTCTCAACTTCGTCTCCTTGATAACTCGTCTTCTGATCTGAGGGTCCTGGTTCATTACTGAAGTCTGGGGGAGCATCTTTAGACAGGTCACTCTTCATAGAGAGACAGCTGGACAGAGGAGACTCTGCTCTGTTCTCAACTTCGTCTCCTTGATAACTCGTCTTCTGATCTGAGGGTCCTGGTTCATTACTGAAGTCTGGAGGAGCATCTTTAGACAGGTCACTCTTCATAGAGAGACAGCTGGACAGAGGAGACTCTGCTCTGTCCTCCTCTTTGCCCCCTCGATAACTCGTCTTCTGATCTGAGGGTCCTGGTTCATTACTGAAGTCTGGAGGAGCATCTTTAGACAGGTCACTCTTCATAGAGAGACAGCTGGACAGAGGAGACTCAGCTCTGTCCTCCTCTTTGCCCCCTCGATAACTCGTCTTCTGATCTACAGATTGATCAGAGGACAATAAAAGACATTCATGTGGGTAAAACAACCTGAGGACAAAATAACAAACAGGTGCGATACAAGCAGGAAAAATGTGAAAGACAGAAATGGTCAAGTCTCCACATCTCATTACCTGATGTGATCCTTAAATCTTAATTTGATTTTCTCTTCCTTCCTGTCTGCCTAAGTACCTGATGCAGCACCTCAGTGCAGTTTGTTTTGATCCTAACATGATTTGTCCGTCTGATCAGCCCTGAATAATGCCAATAACAAGACAATGAGTCTTAAACTTCAAAAATTAAACTAACATGTTCGTATTTAACAGCAACCATGACCTTTAGGACATACATTTGTACAACTAGAACTGTATAAAACAGGGTTTGAATTCAGCACTCACCACATTCAGGTGTCTTTTTTTTTTTTTGCAGTGGCGGGTGAATTTGCTCAACCTACCGACCACAGTGGCAGAGCGAGGGTCACAATGGTGCTCTATATGCTGGAATGGCTTTGCTTGGTGTAACATGATTAACAGAGCACAGACCAGCATCTCTTTAACAGCGGGTCAACCAGCTTCAGGTGTGTTTAAACTGACGCCTCGCTGTCTCAAGTCCAACATGATAAAAAGAAGCGCGCTGTGGCGTTGATTTGGGGTCAAAGGAGCAGCTGTAAATACTAGAACTTCCAACATTTGTCTTGGCCTCAAAGTGCTGCACACATTCAGCGGCCTCACAGTAGAATCCATAAAAACAATAGAAAAACACATCGACATGTCAACAGAAAAGTACAGACCCATGTATAAAACACAACATATATTGCACATTACCCATATAGAGAAAAAGATATAAAAGCATAAAAGCATGTAAGAACATCGTGACGCCATTGCACCGTTAGGTGGGGGTGTTTCTGCTGTAAATGTCCAATGATGAAATGGTGAAACAGACAGTGGCTTATCTTAGAATTTATTGGGCCGAGGTCAGACAACAGCAACAGAACACAAAATGGCTGACAAACTTTTCATGTTATCGTTCCTGTTATATTCTGTTAGCTGGTACAGCCTACAAATTATTTTACCATTTGGGAACACTTCTAAAAGGCTAGAAAAGTGACATTACCTTCACTTGAAACTGTCAGATATCTACATTTAAGTAATTTAAGCTCACAACATACACTCGGCTCCTCTCCAAAAATAGATCTGCTGCTATGAGAGTCTTACACAAACTGTTACATCCACACAGACCTAAACCAATGACCCTTAGATGGTCGACAGATTTAAAATGATATATCCACAAAATTATTGAAGTGAATGATTATGTGAAAATAAATACTAACTGGCACAACCTGTACAGCAAGCTTGATTTAAACTGAACAGAGATTACAGTACCACGCTGACATCCAGCTGAACTACAAAACGAATGTAGTTCAGCTTCCTGGGCGCTAAAACGCCCTCGTGTCAGATTTTTTTAGTCACTGCACTCAAACGCTATCAGTTGAAAGACGTTCAACTTTGAGAACAGCGCAACACTGATCAATGTCCCTTCTCCCTCACCGACCAATCAAGCTCAAGAAGGGGCGGGACTTCTGATATCAGATTTGTCAATAACAATGATTGCATTGTTGGCGGAGGAGACGCTGGTCTGACTCGTCTTTTGGAGGGAACAGTTTGCAGGTGTAGAGCTGCTGCTGACATCAGGACATGACTCCTTTACATCGTCCTCATGTTTTCTTGGTGATATTTATTTGATTTAAAGAAAATATTAGACACATGGAGCTAAAACACACCTTACGGACATTACAGAGCGAAGCAGAAGTTAACTTTTGTAATCTAGCAACAAGGAGCGCTGGTGAGAAGCGCTCTGAAACAAAGGTTGTGAACATGATGTGAATACGCATCTATTTCCGACAAGCTCTTCACACTAAAAGTTCTTGGTTTAAATGGCATTGCTTTTATTGTGAAGCAGCTACATTAGAAAATGGGAAATTTTTCAACAGAAGCAAATTACTGTAACTCAGACGTTTGACATACAAACGCAGAGGAAAGGAACCTGACAGATTCAGTTAGAAGCTACAAAGTCCTCAGAAGAAAACACACAGTGACTTAAAAATATCTTTCTAAATGAAACTCAGTTTCCAGCAGAAACCTTTATGGCTGTGATGACTCTCCTCATATTCTTTTAAAACAATATATCGATCATCTTACCTCTCAGTCGAGGTTTAATTGCAGCTTCATCAGCCTTTGAGGACATAGCCCAAAAATAATAACAAACTTTTTTCTGTTTCTGAGTGAGACAAACAGCATGTCAGTATTTTATTTAATAGTTGATAGCCTATTTCTTGAATACTATAAGCCTTGATTATTATGTTACACGTCATTACATTGTGCTGCCAGTTAAAATAAAGTGGCAGGTAAGAAATGTAAGACTGGTATACGCCAAGCACCAAATGTGGGTAGATTTTTCCGTTTGGCAAGTTAATTTCCATGCATAGGTCTGCATAGGGTATCCTCACTTCCAAATCCCCTCTGACTCACACCATTTATTGTTTGACATCATTCAGTAGTATGCAGCAATTTTTGTTCCCAGGGTTGGTGAAGGGATGATCCTCCCTACTGCCTAAAAAGTGTAAGACCGATAAATCTTTGAATCCACCAGTCACAGGGGCACGTAGACGAAAAAGTTAATCACCAACCGTGGAATAAAACAAAGTCCTTCATGCCTGTAGGGTTAAAACCTTGTCATAAAACAGACCTCATTCAGTCACAACATTTGACTAGGTTGCATTTTATTGTTGTGACTGCTTGAAGAGGTGGTGAAAATATTTCCTATTACTGTACTGTAAATTTAAAACTGAGTCATTCTCTGCACTTCATTTAACGTGAGAGAAAAACAGTAACGCTAACTTTGAGCTCAGACCGCAGGAGTCCTGACAAACAGGAAACAATACGAGATAAACTCAAGAGTTAGGATTAAAGATCAGCCGAGGACAAAGTCCCAAAGCATATCAGATAGCTTGGTGTGTGTGTGAGAGTGTGTGTGTGTGTGTGTGAGAGTGTGTGTGTGAGAGTGTGTGTGTGTGTGTGTAAGTGTGTGTTTGAGTGAGTACATGTATGTGTGTGTGTGTGTGTGTGTGTAAGTGTGTGTTTGAGTGAGTACATGTATGTGTGTGTGTGTGTGTGTGTGTGTGTGTGTGTGTGTGTGTGTAAGAGTGAGTGTGTGTGTGTGTGTGTGAACATATCTGTGTGTATGTGTGTGTGTGTGTGTGTGTGTGTGTGTGTGTGTGTGTGTGTGTGTGTGTACACAAAATGTATTTTACTTCCCCCTCCCAAAGCTGAGAAAAGGTAAAGTAGTCCACATTCACAGAGCTGATCCTGCTCTGTATGTGATCAGTTTTAAAGTATTACTCAGCATGAACCTGCTTCATTAACTGATGAACCAGAGGTTTAAACAGTAAAGTCATAATAATGTTGAATTAAACTCACTCTCAGACATGTTTGTCCTTCTGCTCTGTCGACTCAAAATGAAGGCTAAACTCTGACTGACAGAACACTTTCACTTTCAGTGTTTTCTTGGTAACCTGTATCAGCTCAGAGTTTCTCCTCTCCTTCTTGTTATTTCCTGGAACTGAAACAGTTTTGACTCTCGTTAATTCAGGTTTCTTGGTTATCGTCTCCCTCTCGCTCCCTCTGAGTTCAAAGTAAAAAGCATTAATCCAAGCTAACAAGGTTTAGCAAACTAAACAAAGTGAGCTAGGATCATCTTCAGCAATAGTTGTGGTTTTCAGACCGTTAAAGACTCAAACCTGGACTCGCAGGGTCCCGACAAGCAGAGGAAGACTGGTGAGGGGTTCAAGAGCGTCGGAGAAAAGACGATCTCAGAAGCACATTGTCGTCAATGACCGTGTTTAACGGACTATCTCTCTAATGGGACCAGCTCGCTGCCCTTTGTCTTGTTAAGACCATTTAGCGGTTTTGTGTAATGAATGAACAGGTCAAAAGTGCGCGGAAAGGCAGGCGGGTTAGTAGACCGACGGGAATGCAGTGATTTCACTCAGTCTGCCGTCTTTACTGAAGACGCCGGTGTTTCGGAAAGTTTGACCTGACTAAGATGTGTCTTTCATTCAGCGCTCTGTGTGGTTATCTTTGTTTAGTTTTACATTAAATATATATATCCAATAAGTATATTTTATCTTCCGTTCCTGATATCTGTTTACAACCACACATGCATTGACTGAATTACCAGTTAACCTTTTTTTTTGTTTTTTACACCAAACCCCAGCACATCAGTCTTCCTGTATTCTCTCACGGAAAAGCTTGAAATGTAAACAAAATGTACTGGTCATCATTTATTATAGCTGTCAGCTGCTCATTAGGGTATTTTTTTTTCTTTTACAGAGCATTATGCTGGTAAGGAGAAGTTTGATGAAAGTCAGAAGTATGTTAAAAATGGATATGAGGACTTGAGTATATTTCTTCAAAAAGGTGAGGATTACATTTTGGATACAGTCTTGCTTTTTTTTTTTTTTTTTTTATTGATTATCAAAATAACCGTTTGTTTCAACCCTAAAGATGACTATCTTTCTGATTTTATTGTATCTTTTAGATGGTGAGAGATGTTCTCCGGACCAAGCCTTGCGGAGAAAAAAATCTTGCAGTAATATTTGGGCACTCCTGATAAAAGTTCCACTTCGCGACATATTTGTGGGGACAAGATCTGAGTCTTGCTGCAGCGGCAGTGCCAGGTGTTACACTTTTTGTTGCAGGTGACCATAACACACTGAAGGCGGCTGTAATTTGACACAGATGGCTCATAAACTGACACACAAAGATTTGGCAACATCAGAGATGTGGAAACAGTAAAAGGGATGTTCCTCTCCAGAGCTTGAGCTTGACAACTCATACATATCTCCTTTTTGTTTGAAATATCCTGTTTAATTGGTCAATTTATGTCATATTTACTTATATTTTGACACATTATAGACTAAATAATATCCTTACAACTGAAGACAGGTCTCAGTATGCTTGAATATAATTTATGAATAATATTAAAGAAAGTTATTTTACAAATACAAACGTAAACATTTTAATATTTGTTGAAGACGATCCAGAGCAGGACATGAACGTCCTCACTGATTATTATTATGTCCCTGAACGCAGCAGTCAGAGCCACCTACATGTGAAAACGTTGAGAAGTAATAATACATTACAGTTTCTGTTTTCACAGCCTGCTCACGTGTCTGAAAAATAAAACTGATGGCAGAGAGGTTTGGTTGGAGTTGAATTTATGGTCTGGTTGATTCTCAGCTCATTTTAAAGCAACAGCTCCACCTGCTGGACAAACATTCAAAGCTTGATCCAAACAGCAGCCGAGCTCTTATCCAGCTGCTTCAAAGTGAGCAGCCTGATGACTCTGCTGGAGCCAGATTCACACATAACCCCGGCCGGGTCACAATCCTGTTCAGGTTTGATCTCTAAAGAGAGACAAACTGGTCTGTAAGGCATTCAGATATAAACTGTTGTAGGGTAGAGGTCACAGAGGGGCAGGCTGGAAGAAAGAAAGATCAGTTGTTTTAAAGGAAACATTGATTATCATGCATATGTTGAGCTCCTCATCTAAATCATCTAAATCACATTATCCTTCATTATCTAATCTTCATTGTCTGATCGACTCTGAACAGACTAACGGCTGTACCTATGTATGAAGATTTAAGTGTACAAACATCATTATGTTTATTCACTGTTCTCTGATGTCAGTCAGACCTGATAGAGTTCAGCTGTGACTAGAAAGCAAGGACAGTGTGTCAAGGGTCTTCCCCTTCATATCTGCATGTTTGGTAGACAGTGTCTGTTCCAAATGGTACGACACAGATTAGTTTGGGTCAGTATGACACTGACGTCAATAATGTATTTTCTATATATTCAAAGCCTCTGTAAGAGTTTGGGAGAATTGGCATAGCAGGGACACAGCATCAGACGTGTTGTTCCTACTCCAACTCTCCTCCGGGGTGTATGTATAAACTTTCTGATGAGTCTCCTGAATCATTGTGTGTTTGAAGTCAAGTTATTTGTAATTTCCTCAACACTGTTCACTGATGTTCCTCCACAAACACAAACTCTAATGTTTGTACAATATCACAAAGCATCTTGAGGAGGGGAGAACTAAGGCTTACAGCCTTCATCTACAGCTAGTGTACGATAGCAACAGCCACTAAACCCCTCTACTCCTCCTCATCCTCCAATTTATCCCACCTTTATAACACCATCACCTTGACAACCGCTAAACCCTCTGATCCTCATCCTCCAAGTTATCTCACTGTTGGAGCCAAAATGTGGAAGATTTATTTTTTGCCTTTCTGTCTTTACTTTGTGCAAGTGTGTAATTCCTCTACTGAACACTATGTGGAGCCTTCGCTTACTGTGCTTAAAGCCAAGTCGCCAGGTGATAGCAGCCAGGTGTTTGAATGAGAGCATTGTTTTAACCATGTTGGCCTGTCGGAGTGTATCCTGATCGTATTGGATGTGTTAGCCTTCCTGCACCTCAGTGTTCTGTGCTTTCGCCCAGAGGGCAGTGAGGTGCTGATTTTAACAGGTTGCAAAGTGTGTGATGGCTTTACTGCTCAATAATGTGAGGTTGGATGAGGGGAGACAAATTATTTTTGCAGTGGTGTTGGTAATGTGTGTAAGTTTGACCCAGTTTTTTGATTGGGAGCATGTTTTTTTTTTTTTCTAAAGCAGGTGGAACAATATACGAGGATGAACTGAATGATGCTTTGATATGAGGAGTCTGTGATCACTGCAGCTGAGGTCGAGCTGGTTTTAATGTCACTGATGTTGCGTATCACATGGTGACGTATCACTGACTGATTGTGTGCACAGATGAAACACAGGAGCACCAGAGGGAAGAACAAAATGTTATTACACTTTTTCCTATGAAATGTAAATATTTCATGACTCTTTCTCTATTGTGGGGACTTTGTGTATTCAGGCAGTCGTTTTCAGTTCAGGCTGAGAGTGTTTAAGTGTCATGCTTTGGAGGAGCTCCGGACATGGATCCATTCTGCTATCCTGCAGGTTTCATTTCTGTGTTGATGACACTGATACTGCTCAGTATCCAATGCAGATCAAGCTCTCTCGTGCATGAGCCCACACTCAAAGCATGAGCTGAGGGCCGCTTCTGGACCAATGGCGCTTGTGCATGTAAGTGAGGGGCGTGGCTTTTGAGGGAGCACAGAGGGGAGGGGGTGTAGACGGAGCACTGAGGGAATGCTACTTTCAAAATCATGCTAGTTTTTGAAAATTACCAACCCTGCCTTTAAATGTAGAAATAAGTCTGTTTCTTATCTTCGTGTTGATTGGATGAATCTCTCATATTCAGCAGCCGGTAAAAATCTGCTGAATAATTTTAGAATCAAATCCTGTTTTTTTTTGACCCTAGTGGACACTCAAGGAATTGCATGATTTTGCTCTTCAGCCTCGCCTTTCGGAGGTTGATGCTTGGAACAACTCAACAAGTTTCTGTGGTTTGTAAATTTGTTTCGAGAAAGGATTAAGTGTTCTGCCACTTGTGAATTTGTTTTCTAAAATGTAAATTTGTCTCCAGCATTGTAAGTGTTTTACACTTTGTCATTTTCTTTGCATTTCCCAGCCACCATAGTTATAGTTCTGTATCATTAACACTAAAAGAGAATACATTTATTTTTAAAACGATGTTTCGTTGCACAGTTTGTTTCTTTTTGATGTCTGAAAGGAAAGGGTTAAACTCCCGCAGGCACACGGCTCCATCATTTCAATCAGACTAACACAGAAGCATAATCCAGCACTTGTTACTATCTCTTTAAAAATATTTATTTTATTGGCAGCGGTGGATTCACACATGTTCTCGTCTGAGGCGAGGGCGAGATGTTTGTTGATCCCATTACAGAAATGTGATCTGTCCCGATAAGCCAATAACTGCTCCTTCATCAGTTTAGTGTTCAGAGCCGTTACAGACGCACTCCTCGAAGCGGAGCAGATAAAACAATGACTAAGTGCACAAAGAGTTTTAAAAGACGCTCACTGATCTGAGAAATAAGCTCGGCTCAAAATCACAATCTGAAACAACACATTCTGTTTAAACTGTATGTAAATGTTTTTAGCAGCTTTAGCTCCTCGTTGGCAGCTTCAGTGGGAGCAGGTGGAGCAGGCTCATGTGTGTGCATGCTGATAAATACAGTTAAGGTGAAGCTAACAGTGTGAAGTGCTCTGTGAAAACCGACAACACAGAAGGTCTGCAGGGGATAGCAGGCCTGAGGAGTCTTCAGGGAGGAAGGCGACGAGACGGTTCACGATAATTAAATCTACCATATGTTGGCTCCCGTGTTCACGTCCCACAGCACAGCAGATGTGACAAACTATCAATTGTTTTAGAAATGAATCAGGACGAGAACATGAGAGAGAATCAGCCAACATCACAGTCTGAACACGTGGTCATTCGTTTCCTGCTTTGATCTCTGCATTTTAAAATCACCATATCATGAAGACATTGTGTTGTTTTTCTGAATGTCTGACATTAATTAAAGCCCCAGTTGCTTCAGATAGATCACAAACACGAAGATCATTCGATCATTTTTTACTCTTTAAACGCCAAATCACAACAAGAGTTAATTCAGGAAGCTCAACATGACGAGCAGCTTCAGAGCGGACTCTGTGTTAGAATCTTTCCTGAGAGCTAAAGTCTGCATCATTGGAAAGAAGGAACTCTTTCACAATCTGTCCAAAGAAATAAAAAAGGTACAGTGCAGAATATAAGCAACGCATCAGATGTTCAGAGAGAAATATTCTTCAGTGTTTATGGTTTAATAAATCAAATTGTCTCCAGTGTTTATCCACTGTCTCCTCTGATTCTTTTTCTTTAAAACAGTGAATCACGTTGATTCAGGTCCAGGATCAGGTGACTTCATCTGTACCTGTAGGTAAATGTGGTTACATGGAGTCTCATATACTTCATAAAACACACACTGAAGAATATTTGAGCGTAAAGAGGTACACCAGTTCCAGGAATCAGTTCAACTCAATGGTGTGTCAGTAAGGACAAAAAGGCACAGATCTGGAGTTCCATTTCAATCATTTATTTTCCAGTTTCAACTAACATTTTCTGACAAAGGAAGGAGAGTAACAAAGGTAACTGTGGTGATTGGACATTTCTGTGTATTTTTCCTTGTTTGGTGCTTGTGTTTTCTTTTCTTTCAGAGGCTGGGTGTGGCTTATTGGCTGCTGGAGCTCTCTGCAATCACTCACCTGTTCGTCATCTGTAATCACTGGCTGCAGCATTTATACCCTGGTTCAGCTCTCCCAAACTGCCAGATTATTTCCGCCTACACCGTGGTAGAGCGGCTTTTCAGTATCAGTAGGCTCTTTTTGTGCTTTGGATTACCTGTCACTAATTATTCCCTTGTCTTCTTTTTTCCCCAGTGCCTCCAACCAATGAGCTCCAGCGCCTCACCACCCAGCCTCTCATTCAAGCCTTCACCAGCCTTCACCAGCCTCACTTCAATAAATACCCCTTTACCCACCACCCTGTTTTACCGGTCCTTCTTTGGGTCCACTTAAAAACCTTTAAGATCATAAGAGTAACTAATCTTGACTTCATAATCCAAGTCACAAATCAAATGTAAAAAGGCTAATTCTCATTATTAAAACATATTCAAATACAGGATTTAAGATATGAATGAACCAAAAGTTAAGTAAATCAGTAGAGTAAATAAATGTGCTCATTAACTGCTATGTAATTGGCTTAAACAAAGGAAACTTACATCGTGATCTGTGTCACTTTACGACCATCGTTAGTTTTCACGAACAGTCGGATGCGCGACTCATTTTAAATGTTGCGGCCGAAAGGAGTTGTGGGGCGGCATATCTCATGTCCTTTCGTAAAGGATGGTCCAGTGTATCCTATGCTAAAGGAGGTTATAAAGGAAGCATTGACCCACCTTTCCTTAACTTTTAGAGACTTCAAACGGCTCTTATCATGGCCGCCACTTAAATGCTTCCAGGTCATTTCACTCAGTTATGAACCTTCCTAAGCAAAAATGACAATTTGAACGCACCCAAAGAGTTTGCAGCAGGTGAGCTGGCTGCCTTTGTTAACTCTGAAGCCCTGCCCATGCAGGTAACAGATTCAGGAGAGGGGGGGGGGGTTTCCCACAAAACCAGGTAGAGAAGGAGAGAGACTTTCTACACACACAGTACATAAAACATACAATGTGCAAGCGTGTGGTAAACGGCCAAAGTGTGCAGATTCCAATTTTAAAATACTCTAGGTACCCAAGATCAACACCTTGACAGTGGGCTTCATGGAGATAACTTCAGATGAGTTCTGGGAGTATTTTCACTCAGAGTCATGGCTCAGAGAATCTTC